CAATACAACATGGGATAAAAAAATGAACATTATGATTAAAGAAAAACTTACAAGAATACAGCGTATAAATTTTTCAGCAGCAAATGATATAAAAATCTTAAAACACCTTACTCATTATCAGGATTGATTTCTTCTTTATAAAAAATGAGGAATTAATCCTGAGATCCCATCTATAACTCACATTACCAACAGAGTCTTTGAGTTAAATACCTGTACTATTCATGTTGGTACAATAACTGGAACCAATTCATTGATTTTTTTTTTTTACATCACAATTAGGTACCCGTATATAAAAAGAGACATTTGGATATAAAGGTCACTACTCAAAGGCTGAATACAAGAAGTTTTCTTATCATACAGGCACATGTGTTTTGCAACCCTAGTTTGACTTGTTACAAACTGTCTTGTGGGAGGACTGATAGTAACTGAGCCAACTGATATGGTTGGTTACAAAATGGATTTCAGGATCAATCCTTCATTTACAAACAGTACTCCAAATGCTAAGTGACAAGCACCCAACTCCAGGAGGGGCAAGAGAGGTTATCCCAATAAAATAATAGTAGAAAAATTGGTACTGCACAGTCCTCAAGCCTTGTTATTTCATCAGGACATGACTAACACAGGTCTTAGTCAGTGCCCAGGCCCCTCACTATGGGCCTGACTGCAAGGCCTTGCCTCTTAGCAAGGCCATTGAAGCCAATTTGACCCTGAGGTCATGCACCTGCAACAAACCAGCCTGGATGTGGGAGTTTAATAATTCTGACAAATATGTTTGAGAGATACAGGCACTCCGGGTTGCGGAATTTCGCTCTTGTGGAATTTGTAAATTAAGACCAATAATTTCGCGATACGGCCCGTAAATCCGCCATTACGGAAATTGGGGTAAATTTTAACAATTAAAAAAAATCACTATACGTATAAAATTATAATTTTTTGTTAAAAATTATAATTTGTTTGGTGTGGATTTCTTGGGGTTTGCTACCGTCAAGCGTGGTGTCGCCACGCGGAGTCACTCCATTGTTTACATCCAGTGTGCGCACGTTTCTCGCCCCAGCAGTTGGATTCATCTTTTACAAACATACAGTAAGTACAGTACAGTGCATTACCCTTATTCAAGATGACTGGAAACATCTTTTGTGGTGAGTATAGTACAATATTTTTATTTATTCCAACTGTATTTCTCTTTATATTACTTGTATATCATAAATTATTTAATGTACTGTATTGTATGTGTTTATAAATGTTTATTTTCATTCATAAAAGTGCTTGAATTACTTTTTGGGGCCGAAAAAAAATCCTTACGAACGCATTCCTGAATTTACGCGGGAAGCGGCGATGACAAGCTGCGCGCTAGGTCGCTCTTATGTCACCGCTGACATCAAATGACATTTTGGACTGTGATTGGGCCACGCATCCTTACCACCCACGCATCCCCTCCGCCGCGAGCTGTGATTGGTTTATTTAACCTTGCTTGCCCAGTCAACAAAACATTACCGAGTTCTTCACCCGACACCCACCACAGCCAGCCCAAGTCAGTGACAGTGAGGATACGGACTTTGAGGGGTTTGACAAGGAGGCCCTGCTAGCCTCTGTGGTGGAGAGTGATACAGGTGATACAAGTGATACAGGTGAGGGCCAATAATCTGCCCTCTGCCTCGGAACCAACCCCCCCATCCCTGTGTGCCCAGCCATCTCTTCTACTAACGTAAGTGTTAAAAAACCTAATTTTATTGATATTTCTCTTATATATAAATTGTGTGTGCATACCATCATAAAATTTAGATGTTATTTTTACTACAACGTACGTATTGTGTCGGAAAAAAGGGTAGTCTGGCGGTCGGCCCAGTCTCTATTTGAATTAATCCCATATGTTCTGTTGTTTCGTTTACGCGTTTCGCGTTATACGTGGACCTCCATGGGTTTAATTGACCGCGTAAAACGAGATTATTCTGTATTTAAAATATATTTCTTATGTAAAAAATAACTTACAGTTGAAAATTTTACTGTCATTCCGATTTATATTGAATTACGAGTTATCAAGGGTTTACTGTAAATTACATAATTTTAGGCCAAGGAGACCACAATTAATAGGCGAGGAGGACAATGCTCAGATCCTAGCAGAGGCCGAACGATACTCATTCACAAACACAGTGGCTGTGAGGGAACAACTCGACCTGGGTGTGTCTACCAGGACAGTCTGGTGGCGTCTACATGAGGCAGGCGTCCACAACTGCATCCCATCTATAACCTTTTGTTCCCGGTCCCAAAAAGACTCCAGGAGGTTAAAGAAAATGGAGGCCACTGGATGGGCTATTGAGATTCTGTATGACCTGTGTTGGTAAATATTAAAAATAAATATTATTTCCACCCTCGTATTCAAGATTTCTCCTTATATCAACGCTATTGTAAATATCTAATTACAGTACTGTTGTTTAAAACCTGAACCACAACCTGAACAAATTATAAATAAAGAAATGGATGGTACATTATAATAATCATAAAATAAGGGTCCTCAACTATTATTCTTCCAAGTATGCAAACTTAAAATAATATTATGAGAAAAAACCCTATATTCATCATTCCCTTTCTTCTTTCATGAATTTTCCTGCTTTATTCAATTTCCCCTACCATCTCTGATGAGGAATTTGCATCACATACCAACCTCCCACACCCTTCCTCCCCAACAAACTGTCCTTCCCCAAGTCGACCATTCCCTCCTCTCCACCCCACGTGACTTGCCATGCAGAAAGGACCCAGCCAGGTGCAGGGGTTAAGCTGGTGGAGGGGATGATTTCTTTTGACTGTAACTGTATATGTACTTTAGATTAGTTTCTAATTAAAATGGAAAATACCAGTGTCCCTCTTCAGGGATCACTTAGTAGTTTTTAGTGCAGAAAACATGATGATATACAGACATATGTAAAAAAAGAATACACATCCTGTGTCTGTTCATTGCATTCACTGTATTAATACAACTTAGACCATATCATATCAAGTAATAATAAATGTTTCTGTACTGATCACAGGGTATGGTAGCTGAGTGGATACAGAGCTTGCTTCCCGTCATAAGGGTTGTTGGTTCATCCCCAGGGCACCACAAATTCACCCAGGTGCAGAAGTGAAAGCAGTCAAGCGCAGTGCTGCTCATAATGCCTCAATATGTATCAAAGGCATAGTTTAAAGTGTACTGTACTGTAACCACACTGTTGTTAACAGGCATTCAAGGATATGGGACCCACTTTTACTGTACTGATTCATGTTAACTCCTAAGATGTCCATTTCACAGGAATACAACATAACAAATGGTTAATTATTCTTAGATTTGGAACTCATGGGAGCAGTTTGATTATTCCCTCCACTAATTTGAATGTTGTGCATCTCAATGAAGGGTATTATGGGGATCTTACACTTTTGATTCAAATATAAATTTTCTTGTATCTCTTATCCATTTTCATCTTTGGTCATAGAATGGTCTATGGCTCTCTCCAACTTTTAGTCAACAACAACAGGCTCACATGTCCTGATTAACAGTCTTTATTTGACCAATGTAAGAATGGATCATTGCCATCGATTTTCAGAGTTTCTTCTAGGTTACCAGTGGATTAATTTTTCTCTTATGTTCCAGGATAACACTGTAGAATTGTTCAGTCTAGGAGTGTTATACATCAGTAAATCTTCTATGGGGCACATTTCTACTTTGTCTGGAACCTTTGTCCTCACTTTTCTAGATAGCTTTCTGGAATGAAAGCTGCCTGTTGGAGGTCTAGCTAAAAATAGGAAACTGATCCTCCTCTCATATTTTCTTACTGTGATTGTAATCAGGCAGCTCATATACTCATCCTCTTTCCTTTGATTCAAGATTGATCTGCGAAAAACTTAAAGCATAACAGCAGATTGGTCCTTGACTTCATAGAGATGATGGCCAACAGCTGGTAGTAAATATATGCTCACTAGACTGGCATTGGCTCTAATTACACTTCCAGCATCTAGACAGAAACCTTTGTAGCAAATCTCCCTCCTTTGAGATGGATGGAGGATAAAGCATGATGGGTATGAGCAGTAACAGAGGGGTCAGCTGTACAGTATATAAAATTTTAGGATCAATTCCCCACCTAGATACCTGGGAATGTATAAACAACTTAATAAATTAGTTCCAGCAAACAATGTTGAGGGTTATAACCTGGGTTTTCAACTCAAAGACTCGGTTAGTAACATGATTATCACCTGGATAGGTGTTAGGTTATAAATACAACATTCTTATACATTATTCAGTATAGAGAAATGGAGAGGCCTGTAAGGAGCAAGCCTAATTGTCTGTCCACTGGATCTCCATTGCCAATTCAAGCTTGGGAATGATTATGCTTAATCATACAACTGAACATAAAACTCAGAATTACATAAACAGAGTCATCCCATTAGTATATTTAATAAAAGCAGAGTTGTATCAAACTATTCAGGCATGGCATGTAGGGCAAAAAGACAAATACAAAGCTACAGAACAGCTCTATCTGTGAAGTGTACAAGTACTGCTTCATTTACCATCAATCATCCAGACATCACTTAGTCCACTGAATAAAACTAGTTACTAAATTGCTCTCAAAGTGTCCTACTGGTCTGTGTGTTATGGATGTGGGGTTAATTCTTGACACAAGATAGAGGAAAGTTTGTCAAATAAACTGAAAACAAATTAAATATAAAGCTTAACTGAAAACAAATTACTATATATCTAAAGCTTAAACACACCCTGTGTGAATAGTTTGATTTCACTCTTCCTTTTACAAAACCTTATAGCAGGATAACTCACACACTTAAGCTATGCTGTGCAGTTAACTGCAAGCATAACCTTGTACATTTCCAAACCCAGAACTGATATAATACAGTTTAAGTGCCTAATATTACAAAGCACTTCCCAGATTTTTTAACAATGATGCATAAAAGTAAACAATGAAGTACTCACAAATGCGTGGCATCTTGACGGGCATCGCGGTGTAGAGGGTGTCGCTGATAATGACCAAATACTTCAAACACGATAGGTTGTGTTTTTATGTATTCTAGGAATGCTCGAGTCACTGTTACTGTAATCTGAAAATATAAACACTTACAGGTATTAACTTAATTTAGGACATAACTTTTCAGTATGTTCACTACCTGTACTTTAAAAAGTATAAATTGAAATGAACCTGTAAAGCTTATATATGCACTTTTTTTTTTTTTTACGGGTTCCACTTCAAAAATCTGAAATGATTGGGGCCAGAGCAGAACTAAAAATTTCACGAAGTACAGTACAGTAATAGTATTTGAAGTCATAACTGGGCTCTAGTGGGGCACCTAATATTCTAGTAACAATATCCATTTCTTACATTCTGTACATGATAGAACCCCAGTGGTGGTCCCTTTCCAGTATCTTTTATTGGTTCAGTGGAGAAGGCTTCATCATGTCTGTGGGGGAAACTGAAACAAAATTTACAGTCTTACACTTCTATCTATATTCTATTTGCACTTTATTTTAAAAACCCTACTTATAGCATACAAATTATAGATTCTGGTATATCAAACAATGCAAAAAACTAAAATTATTTCACTGAAAATTTCTTTCAGCAAAAAAAAAACAACTAGGCAACTCACTTAAACTGACAGAATACAGTATGTCAGCATATTCTGTAGACAATCAAGGTATTTCAGTGACAATCAAATCACTGAGAAATACCACAATAATATCATTATTGTACAGTACATACCTTATTGTGCTGTCAGACCAAACACCAGGGGATTACACTGTCTTTAAGTCTCTGAAGATCCACTGTTTTGGGAGTTATGTGTCAGCACCTGTATAAAAGATTATATCTCATATATGGTGCATTGTATTATATTACCAGTAGTTCCTTATTTCACACAATACATAGTTCTCTTTGGTCATGCTGTTTGACTGCAGTTAACCTACTCTAACCCCCACCAGATAGCATTAAGGATGTTTAATTGTCAGGTGAAATAAGCAAAGGTGTTTAATCGTTGGTCAGGTGAAACAAGCTAGGATGTGAATCATTTAGATCCCTAGATATTCTACACCAACAACTTCAATCACACATACAAATTATTAAACCTCCATCCAGCAGCCTATATGGGTAGACAAGTCCACTACAATGGGGATGTCTGATGTGAAACCCCCATCTAATGAACATCCCCTTCCATATATAGTCCATTAGATAAAGGTTACACTGTACTTATAAAGCCAAGAAGGTTACTCACCAAGTGAGGGTCTGGGATGCCTCTCAAAAGGCAGCGGCAGATGCAACCAATCCGTCGCCTCCGTCTTTCAATAAAACAGTACAATCAGCAGGCAAGACATCTTTCCCTTCTGTAGCTATTCCTCTATGTTGGCTTCATGACTGGCCAGGACTTCCTTAATGTTTCGCTGTGGACTGTATTGTTCTCTCGTACTGAATCCATGGAGAAAAAGAAAAAAGGAAGCTAATATTACATTTAACAAAACAAGAATTTTGCTCCATTACCTATAAATATAAAAAGTGCAGCGTCAATACAGAAGCTAATTATTCTTGTTCCTTGTCCTGAAAGGTTTTCAAGGAAGATACCCATTTGTACAGCGAGGGGTGCCTGTATTATCTACAATTAAATCTCCAGACTCAACACTAAGATGGCAGTCATCACTAAACAACAAAACTTTATAATTAACACTACAGTAATAGGTAGGCCATGTACATTAAGGAAGAGTAAAGGTCTTAGGGGACTTAACCTGAACAATAACTAGTGTGACAGATTTGAAGTAGTAAGTAAAACAGAATATCTGGCACAAATGAAGCATTTAGGATAAAACACAAATGGTAATTGTGTTAAGGTATGAAGTCCAAGGAAAACAACTTGAAAGAATCAGGGGATTTTTCAACCAGACAGCAGAAGCCTTAGCCAGTGTTTCTTAATGAACTTTATACTCTGACTGACAATAGCCCAGACAAGCTTGATGCACAAGCTTAGTGTAATAGTGCAGCTGCTTTAAGTGGAGTTCATACACGTGTTCAGGCATTTTATTCATTGCCATGCACACCAACATTTGCAACAGGCAACATCACAAAATAGTCAGAATATTTTGCAATAACCAATCAGGAATACCAAAATTGTTTCATCATCTCCACAGACAATGACTGCATTGAAAACGTTGCTTGCCATAAAATTCCCAAACCATCTGAAACACGCTAGAATTTTAAAAGCAGAACAGTCAAGGCAGTACTGCATGAAGTGAAAGTTACAGGGTCTCAGTTGTCTCCCTTACTATTGACAACACAACATAAATAACTTTTCTCACTCTTGATCTGTTCTATTCTTTTTATTATTTTTTTATTCTATTCTTTTATTCTCCTATATCAGTTGACAGTAATATTGAACCAGGCCTCCTGGGATGGGTCCCACTGGTCGGGAAGGTTGTGGACCCAAAGGCCGACCTGATCATCATCAAACTACTGGGGCCTCAACTGACGTCACCGCGGTTGCTGGAGGATCAGCTTTTTTCACACTTCATTTTTCCAACATTCTCGGCCCGAGATCCAATTTTCCTTCTGTGGAGCACCATCTATTAACCTCTCTCCCGACCTCTAACTACTATCTGAACTTCAACTGACCAAAGCAGCTTCACCCAAACTACAACCTTTATACCTCCTTCCGTTCTAAGGGAGGTGTATGCGCCTACTGCAACACACATACGCCTATAGCTCGACTCACGGATCTTGAATCTTCCCTTTATGATGTCATCTGGCCCAAAATATCTCTGCCAACTACAGGTCCACAAACCCTTACCTGAAACCCTTGGTGTCATGGTCACGTTGACTGCTAGTCTGTTTTAACACTAATGATTCTTATTATACTCCACGAACGCAAAACATGAGTGGGTTAGCTATTCCTAAGAGAGACGTGTTTGTCCCCATGACGTTTATACTCACGATCCCTCCCAGTAAGTCCCGCCTTGTGAAGACAGTTGTCAATGCGTTTTTCATTCCAATTTTTCCTGGCAAGCTCAATCTTGGATTAGTTTGTGTTAATCAACTCCAGTAATTCGCCAGACCTTTGTCAACTGAGGGCCATCCTTGAATGAGTGACAGTTGTTTGTTTGTGATTTCTGTCATTGAGTGAGTAGCAATCGCTGGCAACTCGGGTATATAACCACGGGCGCGAGGAAGAGACGTCCTCCATAACGCGTCCTCTCCCGTTGTCCCCAGGTATGTAGCTGTGTTCTCCCGCCGATATAACCATTCAGTTTGATTTAGTCAATTGTAGTGAATTATCAGTGTTCATGTTGTGACTGTGATTGTCATTCACCCAGTGTAAGAAGTAATATAAAGTAAATGTAGTCTGACGTTGCCAGACGAAGGAATTGTTGTGATCGAGTTGTCCATGCTTCCCTCCATAATGCGTCCTCTCCCATTGTCCCCAGGTACAGGGGGTGGGGGCTTAATTGAACACCGACCGGTCGCTCCGAGCCGGTGGATATTCAGCAATGATCCATATATGAGCGATGGCGCTGATTCGGTATGATTAATCTGTTCACTGCCTCGTGGAGCTAGACCCCCAGACTCGCCATGTGTCTGGCTTCCACCGATCACAGCAACGGTCGTGAGCCCCAGTGTCCTACCCTGGGAGGCATTCCTGGCATTTATGGCCCACAGTGTTTTATGTATATGTTTGGGGATAATTAATTGGAAATAATTATCCCATGTTGGGTAGTGGACACATGTATGAGTTGGTTTCAGTAATAACATGTTGAGTACCGAAGGGACCATATGTCAGTTGGTCATGTATGCAATGAAATGTATCACCAGTAATGTGGGTGAAGTAAGTACCCACTGGGATTGGCAGTTGAGAGAAGCCAGGAGTTGTCAAGTAACTATGTACTGTAATGTAACACCAGTAAGGTTGTGTGTAGTAAGAGTACAGGATCCGAGTAATTGCAGTTGAGTAAGCCGAGGAGTTGCACCTTGGAGTGATATGTTAATATCTTTTTCCCTTTGTGTTTCATATTAATAAACCTGTTCTTTAAGTGTTTTAGGAGTGTTCATTTTTCACCACAGTAGTTCATCTTTATTTCCGTCCAAGTGACTTGATATCAGAATTACTATACCCACGTGCCGGCCCTCACCGTGCTACCAAAAAGAACTGAGGTTATGTGGTAACCAGTGAATTTAAGTGAAGTACAAGAACAGCTGAAGTAAGATGAGGGTGGGCAGTGTGAATAGGAAATCGCCGCCCTTACATTGGAGCCTTTTTTTTTTTTTCATATTCGCCACTTAACAGCTTATTAGCCATTTGGGCGGTCTAACCCATATCTCGGGCATAGGCCCAGTTGGGTCACATGTCCCAATCTTTGAGAGTTGTTCCTCAGATGTTATTGCATTATACTGTAGCGTACTGTAAGTGGCCAGGTGTCAATTATCTTAGTATGGGCACACAAACGTACGTACATGTAGATATCTCACTCAGGAATGAGGTAGAATAGAAACTCACAATGCATTTTTTGTATATACAGTATTACCCCGCCTAACGCGGTTTCACTTAGCGCGTTTTACCGTATACGCGCCAGAGCTGAACTTTCACTTAACGCGGGTTTTTTCCACCACGTATACGCGTGAGTGTCCGGCTCGAGAGCTATTTTTAGATTCGCCCCACCCGCCACCCTGCCTGACTGCTTGTTTTAGCTCATAAAATTCATACAAATTACCCAGCCAGAATATAATTTACATTGCTGGAATTCTTACAATATGATGATCATTTTGAATATAAACATCATAGATTTTGCATTAGACATACAAATTTTAGATATAAAGTTTATTCTGAGTAAATATGTTATTTTTTGTGCAAAATATATGACATTTGTATTCAAAATATTCCTGGGCTTACAAGGAATCCAGCAATGTCAATTATATTATCCTAACTTTAGTTTGAGGTATTATTTATTACTAAAAAGGTAAATATTCTGGTTTTCCCACACATCTGGTGGGACGGTTGGTGGGGGGTGGGGGGGGAGGGAGGGACCGACCGACCATCTGTTACAGTGTGAAGAATATTTTTTTTTTTTTATTAACTGAAGATATTTGTTTTAGCTCATAAAATTCATACAAATTACCTGGTCAGAATATAATTTACATTGCTGGAATTCTTATAATTTGATGATCATTTTGAATATAAACATCATAGATTTTGCATTAGACATACAAATTTTAGATGTAATGTTTACTCTGAGTAAATATGTTATCTTTTGTGCAAAATATATGACATTTATATTCAAAATATTCCTGGTCTTACAAGGAATCCAGCAATGTCAATTATATTATCCTAACTTTAATCTGAGGTATTATTTAATACTAAATGTTAAAATTTAGTTTTTTCACCCAACATCTCTTGAAGGGAGGATTGGTGGGGGGTGGGGGGGAGGGTTGGGACTGACGCAGCGGTTGGAAGAGGGGGGAAGGCAAGTTGGGGTACTTTGATTGACAGATAGTGTCGTGAAGAATATTTTTTTTTTTTTATTAACTGAAGATATTTGTTTTAGCTCATAAAATTCATACAAATTACCCGGCCAGAATATAATTTACATTGCTGGAATTCTTACAATTTGGTGATCATTTTGAATATAAACATCATATATTTTGCATTAGACATAC